ATGTCAGTATATCCAATTTCATCAAACATACTGTAAAGGACTTAAAAGCACATATAAACTCCAACACAGTGGTAGTGGGAGACTTTAATATCCCCCAACACCAATAGACAGGTCATCCAGACAAAAAATCAATAAAGAAGTTCTAGAACTAAATCACACCATAGATCAAATGGACCTACCTGATGTCTACAGAATATGTCATCCAACATCTGCAAAAAATACATTCTTCTCAGCAGTCCATGCAATGTTCTCCAAAATTGATCATATCTTAGGGCACAAAGCAAGTCTCAGCCAATATAAGAAAACAGAAATAATCCACTGCATTCTATCTGATCACAATGCATTAAAACTAGAACTCAACAACAAAAACAACAGCAGAAAATATGCAAACAATTGGAAGCTCAACAACACATTGTTCAATGATTGATGGGTCATCGATGAAATATAAGAGGAAATTAAAAGGTTCCAGGAAGTTAATGCAAATGAAAACATGACCTACTGCAACCTATGGGACACAGCAAAAGCAGTCCTAAGAGGAAAATTTATAGCTATGAGTTCATATATTAAAAGGACAGAAAGTTCTCAAATTAATGACCTAATGTTGTATCTCAAACTCCTAGAAAAACAAGAACAAGCAAAACCCAAAACAAGCAGAAGGAGAGAAATAATAAAAATAAGGGCTGAAATTAATGAAATAGAGACAAAAAAAAAAAAAACCCATACAAAGAATCAATGAAAAAACAGCTGGTTCTTTGAAAAAATAAACAAGATTGACAGACTCTTGGCAAATCTGACTAAAATGAGGAGAGCAAAAAGCCAAATCAGTAAAACTTTTCCATGAAATAGAAAGGGAAGGAACACTGCCCAACTCATTTTATGAAGACAGTATTACACTCATCCCCAAACCAGACAAAGACACAACCAAAAAGGAGAACTATAGGCCAATCTCCTTAATGAACATTGATGTAAAAATCCTCAATAAAATAATGGCAAACCAAATCCAACAACATATCAGAAAGATCATTCACCACGACCAAGTAGGCTTCATCCCAGGGATGCAGGGATATTTCAACATATGCAAATCTATAAATAAATGTAATACAGCACATTAATAGAAGCAAAGACAAAAACCACTTGATCATCCCAATTAGATGCAGACAAAGCCTTTGATAAGATTCAACACTACTTCATGATAAAAGCTCTAAGAAAACTAGAAATAGAAGGAATGTATCTCAACATTATAAAGGCTATATATGACAAGCCTACAGCCAACATCATACTTAATGGAGAAAAACTGAAACCATTCCCCTCTAAAATCAGGAACAAGACAAGGGTACCCACTATCCCCATACCTATTCAACACAGTCCTGGAATTCCTAACCAGAGCAATAAGGTAAGAAGAAGAAATAAAAGGTATACAAATAGGTAAAGAAACTGTCAAAATATCCCTATTTGCAGACAACGTGATCCTATACCACAAAGACCCCAAAAACTCTACCCCAAAACTCACAGACACCATAAACAACTTCAGCAAGGTGGCAGGATATAAAATCAACTTACAAAAATCATTAGCTTTTCTATACACCAATAATGATCAAATGAAAAAGAATATATGGAAACAATTCCATTTACAATAGCCTCAAAAAAAATCAAATACCCAGAAGAAAACTTAACAAAGGATATGAATGATCTCTATAAGGAGAATTATCAACCTCTGAAGAAAGAGATTAGGGAAGACTACAGAAGGTGGAAAGATCTCCCATGCTCATGGATCAGTAGAATCAACATAGTAACAATGGCTACACAACCAAAAGCAATCTACATGTTTGATGCAATTCCCATCAAAATCCCAAGGACATTCATTACAGAGATTGAAAAATCTACCCTAAAGTTCATTTGGAAATACAAGAGACCATGAATAGCCAAGGCAATACTCAGTAAAAAGAGCAATGCTGGAGGTATCACAATAACCGACTTCAAACTATACTACAAAGTATTAGCAATAAAAATAGCATGATACTGGCACAAAAACAGATATGAAGACCAATGGAACAGAATAGAGGACCCAGATGTGAATCCACACAGCTATGCCCACCTTATTTTTGACAAAGGTGCCAAAAACATATGATGTTAAATAGACAGCCTCTTCAACAAATGTTGCTAGGAAAAGTGGCTATCTGCCCCACAGAAAACTGAAACTAGTCATGTCTATCACCCTGTACTAGTACAACTCAATGGATCAAGGACCTTAATATCAGACCTGAAAAATTGAATTAGTAACAGAAAGAGCAGGAAATACTACGTGGAAGAGCAATGGGTATAGCAAGGATTTCCTCAAGAACCCAGCAGCTCAGTAACTAAAGAGAATGGATGGACTAATGGGACTGACCCTCGGGCCTGAGGTCAATTAGGAAATTATTGTCAAAAGTTAGAAAAGATAAAGTTATCACAGTTAAGTAACAAGTAAGTTTTAGATCTTAGAGATGTACAACAAAATATTTAGGAGATAAATGTTGCAAACATTACTACAAAATCAGATGACATGAATATGGAAAATGTCAATAAATGTTGTTAACTAGTGATGGGTGTTCATGATTCTATCTTCACCACAGTTGAAAATTTTCAGTCATAAACAAAAATCACAAGTACCTTAAATCTTTGCAAACACCCAATTTTTTCACAAACTCCAGCCTCCATTGAAATCAAGTCATTTTTTTGTCTTCCATTTTCTTTTCTAAGTTGTCTTTCCACTTCTACTAAGGTTGTATATTGCCTTATGAGTGACTTTTCATTCACTTGCAAAACAGTGATTTTTCTACTGTTTTCTGAAAGTGTTTTTTTCATTTCATCTGGATCCATCTGAAGAGCACTGAGCAAATTCTATACAAAAACAAACTGACATTACTTATTAAATCTAGTTAGCATAGTTTGCACAACATTGTATACTGATGTTTAAAGTGTTTTACTTACGTTATATTCTTTTACTTTTATAGTATCTTGTTGGATTTGATCCTCAAGTTTTCTCTTTTCTTCCTTTATTGTTTCAGATTCTGTTTTCCATGTCTCCTTTTCACTAAAAAACAAGCAATCCCCACCACAAAACAACAATGAAGTGATTATATAGCAAATCTAATAAAATGTTTAACCATGAGAAACTTTTCTTTAAAAAAAAAGAAAGCCTAGCTACTCAGCATCTAACAAACAAGAAGTTCAAACTTCATTAATTTCTTTTAATGAATTAATTTCTTTTAAAACGTTTAAACTCAAGCCACATGCTTGCTAGTCAGGTACTCTAAAACTGAACATCCCAAGACCTTTATGTTTAGGTTATTTTGTAGATAATGTGTTATGTTTTGCTCAGACCAGCCTTGGACCATGATCCTCCTACCTATTCTTCATGTAGCTGGGCCCACAGACATGTCGCACCATACCAAGGTTTTGGCTAAGATGGTGTTTTTCTAACTCTTTGCACAGGTTAGCCTGGGCAAATGCTATCCTTTGATCTCTGCCTCTAAGTAGCTGGATTACAGGAATGTATGACTGTGCCCAGCTCATTTGATTTTTTTAAAAAAATAAATGCAAGATAACAAAATTACTTTATCAAATTATTTTTGTTCCTCCTAATTCATCACTCCAAAAGAATAAATATTTAATGACCTATTTCAAGTCCAGATGTGAGGTACGTAAGGTTAAGTCTACAAAATCTTGTTCCAGAGAACAAACCAAGGTTTGAAGCTTGCTTCAACTAATTGGTTCTTGTCAAAGGGACATAAGAGCTAGCTTTAAAAGGAACCTACTGACCTTGATACAAATAGTGACACTCCATTTGACTTGTTATTCAATTAGAAGCTGAATCTTATAAAACATTTCATTGTAAATACAAAAGGATTAGAAATATAGTTAACATTCTAAACTAATTCTGGAAATCAAGTATCTGATATTAAATATGAACATGGAATATTTGAGAAATATTCAGAATACCAGTACTAGAAATCATTAAATTTAAAAGCAAGTGTAAAATGGTCTCAGTCAGACAGAAGGAATAAGTTCAAGAGAGTATGGTGACTAGAGTTAATAATATATTATAAACCTGACAATTACTGAGAGGGCTGGGAGTATGGCTCAAGTGGTAAAGTACCTGCCTATTGAGTGTGAGCAAAACCCAAGTACTGCAAAATAATTTTTTTAAAAAACTGCAAAGAGAATAGATTTCAAGTATTCTTACCATAAAAAATGAGTATATGAAGTAACACACACATTAAATAGCATTTTTTATCCATTCCACATATCTTAAAACATCCCATGGCATATCATAAACACATAAAATCCTTGCCAATAAAAAATACAGTAATTCATTCATTTTTTAAAAGAACGTGTAAGTCATTACACAATAGTTTCACATACACTCTGCTTGACAAAACGCAATTATGGGACACTATTCTCTTTGGCACTGAATGTTTGAAAGTTGAGCATACAAACAAATTCCTGCCCAACGAGAGTTGAATCATCGTCTGCCTGCTATCTTTAGGAAAAAAAAAGGTTATCTAAAAAAAAAAAAATTTATGTGGAAAAAATTCTCCTGTTCTGCAATGGGCGTGGTTTCATCTCCCATTACTTTTTGCAACTATTTTATAACCATAGTGACCACAACAATTCATATATATATGATCTACCCTCTAATTAGTTTTTAAATCAAATGATAGTCAGTAATGTAAATCACCTTTAAGTATTCTAATTCCCTACTAAGGATATGATTAAATTGGTAAGGATGAGAAGACAGATACAAGGAGAAATGTCAACTCCT